TTCCCACAGTCCACGGCGGTTTGTTTGCTCTTCTGAGGAGCCTTCGTCTTCTTCCTTTTCTTGCCCACGGCAACACTGAGGGGTTCCGGATCTAAGGGCCGGGAGGTGCTGGTTTCGCCAGAGCCGCGAGCTGGGAAGACGGCAACTGTGACTCTTTGCCTCTCCTTCTCTTCCTCTTCTTCGGCCACCTGGAGAGCGAGGGCCATTTCTTCGTCTTCAGCCACTTGTTCGAACTCCTCCGCCTCCAGCTCAGTTCGAAGGTTGCTTTGGACCTCCTCGGCGACCGCTAGGTCATTATTCGCCGACGACTGCTCACTCGACGACTCCACGTCCGAGTGACTCTCCTGTTGCGCCGACGGGTCCCCCGAGATATCTTGGGAATCGCTTTGAGAGGACATGACTTTGGAGGAAGGGAAGTGTGACTGAGGGAGACTACCTAAGTGTTCCTACCGAAGGCTATCCTAACACCTCTAAACACAAGATCAAAGGAGAAAGAAGCAAAATATGCTAAGGTAGCAAGGAACGGAGCAAGAACTGACCTTGTGGCTTAGGGTTTGATCGGAGGAAATGCTTTATCTCTCTAGAAATTTTGGCAGAGCTTCGCTTCAATTCTAAAACGCACAAGCCAAATGAGTTCGGAGTTGGGGTATATATAGGCTTTCAGCCTCGAGAACTGGGCCTCGGTTTGAAAAGGCCATCATTACGGGCCGCCGGTTCAACCAATGGATGGCACCCGCCCACCTTCAACCAACGGGAGCATGCCACGTGTTCCCCTCTCCCAACGGCTATATTACAACGACTATATTTCGGCGACACTGGGATGCCCCCGGATGATAGCCTCCGGTTACTCACTCACCGCAGCCTTCAGGCAACGAATTCCACCAAACGCCTTCGAGCCCATAGCGGCATAAGCCTTTGGCTTATCAGTGTTATAAACCCTCGGGGGCTCATCAACTCATCATAACTCCTTCAGCCCGAGCTCACCTTCGGCCTAAAGGAGTGGGGGACTGGGATACACCCCTCGGGGATCATATACAACAAAAATTTCTTGGAAACAAACAATTTACAATTGACGCATGTAGCCTCCGGGCATCATAGCAGAAACCCCCCGGGTACATGCTCCAACATACCCTTCGGCAGGGGCAGGATATCACAAATTTTCTACAAGCCACTCGCGGAAACAAAGCAGCCCTCATCACAACACACGCAGGCAATACATCTATGCTTCCCTCAGAGAACCCTCGACATATGAGGGACTGAGGAGAGGCTCCGGCATTCATACAAGTATTATACTTCCTTCAGAAAACCCTCGACATGTGAGGGACTGAGGGAAGTCTTCGGCTAACAGCGGAAGGCAAATTCTCAAGCGGGGGCGCCCAACAAAGTGATGAAGCCTCCGGAGGAATCAACACAACTACTCCTTTTCCCTCAAGTACCTTTCGGCAAAAGGAGTGAGGGACTCCTGATGGAGTATATGGCCCAAGAACCCCCGGCCCATAGACTCCTACTTCTCCTACACAAGTTCAAGGAGCCCAGGGAACAACTCAGGCCCAAAATGCAGCGGCCCAAGCCTCAACGTGGCCCAGGATACGCACTGGGGTGCCTTCGGCCTCCTTGGCCGGAGGCCCCAAACCTCACAGGGTAGCTTTCTCTGGCATAAAAGGCTACTGGGAGAAAACGGCGAAAAACATGAGCCTTCGGCATTATCGAGCCCTCGGCATCAGAGAAGCCCCCGGCTAAACCGTGCCTCCGGTCACACAGGGCCTTCGGCTACCCAGGGATCCTTGGCTACATGGAGCCCTCGGCAACACAAGGAGCCCTCGGCCAAGCACACTCAATCATCGAAGATTCCTTTTAGAGACAGCCAACCACCGCATTTAATGCCACGTCACATCCGCCAACCGCATTCAATGCGGTGAACGTACCACTGCCAGTGCCAACGATTGATGTGACCCTTCGGCCGTTGGATTACTGACACGTGTCCTCTCATCGCATTTATTGCTACTATAAATAGCAGCCCATTTCTCCTTGTAAAACGGGATCTACATCTCAGCTCCACATCTCGAGTTCATTTAATAAAATCGACTCTCTCTCCTCCTATTTGCTCTGACTTCTCTCTAGTTATTTCCGCAATAACCCTTCGGATAAGATACCCCCGGGTAGGCTATCCATCAGGTAATAATTGTCCAACACCTCAAAACACTCCAAATCGGGGTGTTAAAAAAATAGACAATTGAGGTGTTGGGAAGGTTATTATTAACACTTCCTAACCATTACTAACACTTCTTAACACCTCTGATTTTTTCTCCCAAACAAGTGTTAGCATCAACACTTACTAACACTTCCATTACTAACACTCCTCAACACTCAATCCAAACAGGCCGTAAGGTGGGATCCTCCGAGGATGAAAATTCTGCTCCTCACCCAAAACGGCACAGTTTTAACCCATCTTTAATAAATAAAAAATCACGCGTGAACAGTACACGCATGTACAATAACAAGTTTTGTTTTTATATAGTCCCAATAATAGAATGATGTAACTCGTGTGTAAAAAAAGCAATTCATGTTAAAAAGAAATGTTACTACAAGCAGGTCGAAATGTAACTTGTTTAAAACAATGATTTTAATGTAAACAATATAAAGAGGAGTCAAAATTTTTAATTACTTTACCTAAATAGTGAATATGTTTCGTTTTTAATATTAATACCATAAAATGTTTTAAAAAAATTATTTTCCCCCAAGAAATCATTTTTTTGCAAAAAAAATATCGACTAAAAATATTTTTTTTAAATTTAAATAAAATGAGTTTAGTTTGTGATGTAACTCGTGTTATGAAATTAAAATTGTAACTTGTGTTGATGAAAAATCTAACTTAGGTGTATGCAAAATGTAACTTGTTAAAGCAAATCCTAATGTAACACGCGCAGAGAAAGATGTAACTCATGCATAAGAAAATGCAACTTGTGTATAAGAGGATGTAATTCATATTATATCAACTCACGCAAAAGAAGATGTAACTTGCATATAAAAAGATGTAACTCGCACACAAGAAGATGTAACTCCACGTATTATCAAATGTAACTTTAACAATCACAGTAAACAAACTCAATGTCTTAAAAGTATATGAATATGCCAAAAAAATATTACAAAATAAAGTGTATGAATATAATTAAAAAATATTACAGAAAAATAGTATGCAATATACTTTTTTATTTAGATTAATAAAAAAATTGTTTTAAATTGCTAAAGAATAAACAAATAGAGATCGGTATTTCCATAGAAGTCTGAACATTGAGCTGAAGCTCTTGGAGAGGGGAAACTATGGGCGCACTCATACAGTTGAAATTCCACAAACTTTTACATTTTCTTATGTTTTGCCTTCTCAATCTGAGAGTTGAAGGAAGCCGATTCCCTTCCCTACGCAGAGATCACTGGAGGCAGAGCATGATTGATTTCAAGCCACAAAAAAAGGTGAGAAAATCTATGGAGGTTCTTCGGAAATTAAGAGTTTCTTTCAATAGCTTCAGAAATTCAGAGGTTCTTCCTTCATTAATGGAGACGGGAGTTCTCTGAGTAGAATTTTCAGGAGCAAGTGAGCCATATTCGGAGTTTACAGAAACGGACCTTCGTTCGAGCTCATCAATTTTTTTAATACTCGTACTTCAAATAAAACTACACCGTTTTGGAATCGGCACACCATGCGCATGGTGGGCCGATCCCATTGTATAATTTGCCCTTTTCGTGTGATGTGAATGTTGACGAAGGCATTTTAATCTGATCTCAATTTTTCTACATTAATCTAATATGATTTTTTTTTATTTGATGGGAATCGTTTGATGTGATTTTTCTATTTTGATCTGAATATTTTTTATCTAATCTGAATCTTTCTGAACTGATCTGATCTGAATCCTTATGATATGATTTGAATCTTTCTAAAGTAATAATTCTAATTATTATAATTGTAATTATAAATCTAAATATAATTATAAATAACCATATTTATTAAAAATAATTATATTTACAATCATATTATAATTAAAACTATAATCGGTATAATTATGATTAATTATTATACCTATTACACTAATTACCTTTCAAAAAATACCTATTACACTAATTATAATTATAGCTATAATTATAATTATAGCTATAATTATAATGGTAAAAGTATTTTTAATTATAATTATTTCTACAATTATAATTGCAATTATACTTACAATATTTATTTCTAAAATTATAATTATATTTTATAATTACTCTATGTTATACGGAGTACTAACAACAACAATAGTAGCAACAACAACAACAACGATAATAATACAAACAACAAATATAATAATGATCATAATAATAATTATCATAATAATAAGGGGTAATTTGAGTTTGCACCCCATATTAATGTCTAAATTGGACTTTGCACCTCGTTTTTTAAAAATCTTTATTTTTGCACCTCAACCTCATATGAAAAACAAAAATGCTCTCAATCAGGAGTATATTTAAGGTCAACAGAAATGTTATAATCATAATGATAACAATACCATTCATATTAACAACAACAACAACAACAATAACAATAATAGTAATAGTAATTGTCCTATATAGGACTAATAATAAACTTAAATGCACAAATAGGACCACATCTTTTTTATTCCCTAAATAGGACTCCGGATTACCATTATACCCTCCTATATAATAACTATCCAAAACCCTAAAATTCTATCGATCACTTCTTCCTCTGCGCCTCATCGCCCCCTCTCTCTCTGATATCACCATCGCAGCAAACTCCCCCCGCTCTTCAGCGCCGCCGGCCGGTTATCCATCGTCGTCGCTAGTTTTCCAAAGACGCCGCCGATTTACTGCACCGCACCGCCTCTCTGTGTCGGTAGTTCTTCGACGCTCCATCGCCACTCCCCTTTTCCAGGTTTTCCCCTTCCTCTTCCTCTTTTTCTTCCTCTTCCTCTTCCTCTTTTTCTTCCTCTTCATCCCCCTTCTCCGTTTTTGGCAGATTTTTTGTTTTTATTCTGTTGTTTTTTGGCAGATTTTTTTGATTCACTTTGTGGAGTTTTAGCATCCTCTTTTCTGATTTTTGGTCATTAATTTCGTAGTTCATATTTCTGATTTCAATAAAAAAAATTGTTTCATAAAAAAACCATGTTTTTCTCGATTTTGGATAGAGTTCATATTTTGCCAAATTTTTGGCAGATTCGTGTAAAATGTTATGGCAGAAAACCTATAGTTTGGCATTGATTTGAGAGTGTTGCCAATTATATGATATCATGGCAGAATTTCAACAATTTGAATGTATTTCCAATTTTATGGCAGATTTGCCGATTGTATTTTGGTAGATTTGCCATATTAATATTTAATATTATGGCAGAAAATTCTTATTTTTATTCCACTGTTATGGCAAATCTGATATATAGCTTGATTTTTAAGGTAACAAGATGGCAGATTTTCATCTACAAAATTTCCGATTTCAATAAAAATTCCGATTTTTACAGATTTGGAATATTGGATTTATATTTTTGTCAACTTTTTGGCAGATTTATGTTTTTATGTTGTCAATAATTTTTTTTTGCAGCAAGGTGACATTTTCATAACCGCCGGTGATGGGCCAGCAATGGTGCCGGGAGTGACGACGGTGTCGGGAGTGATGGGGGCGCCGGTGCCGGAAGTGATGGCGGCGGCGGCGGCGGCGATGGAAGTGACGGCGATGATGACGGAAGTGGAGGCGCCAGAAGTGATGGCCGCATTTGGAGTGTTGGGAGCGGCTGCGGAACCTAGCGTTCTAAATAGCTTTTTTATTTTTATTTTTTTTATTGTAAATAGATTCATAAAGTTAGTAAGGGTAATTTTGTACCATCGATACATTATTAGTCCTATGAAACATGGAAGTCCTATTTATGCATTTCTTCATTGTTTTAGTCCTATTTAGGGTATTAACTCTAATAGTAATGATGATGATGATGATGGTGATGATGATGATGAATTTTGATATTATCAAACGAGCTCTAAATAAATAAAGAGATTTTGAATTTCTTTTATTTCACTCTAATCTCTTGAAACTAAATGCTCGTTTGATAGTTTACGAGTTAAATCTCAGCATGTGAAACGATTGCATGCAGAGTTTAAGGAATCAATCACTCCATTTAAAATAAGGAAATTTTTATGATGCATATGCATTTGGGAATGTTTTGGTGCATCCTACACTTGTAACTATGTGATTGACAATTTGATCAAGCTCACTTCTTTAGCTTTACTAAGAGCCCGTTTGGTATCTTGTTTTTCGGCTTATCAGCCATTTTTTGTCAAACACATAATTTTTTATTTCGCTCGTTGAATTGTGTAATAATAAGAATAAATAAAGTTGAAGTTACTGTAAAGAATCATTTTAGCCATTTTCATATAACTTTTTCTTTATCTTATCAATAAACAACATTTTAATTTTTTTTTCAAAAATTGGCATAATCAGCCAATGCAGCCACTTCAGCTAGAAATTAATAAATTCAGCAAAATCAACCAATATGACCGATTTAGGTATTACCAAAAGCCTTGAGCCAGCCTCTAAACCGCAAGCAAGTCCTTCCCAACCAGACTGATTCCTTTAGGTCTTCTACCCATCTACGGGAGTGTTTGCAATAGCCTAAAAAGCGCTTCTCGACTTTTGGCTTACAAAATTGAAATTAGTGTTTTCAAGCGATAACTTCTACTTTAAAAAGCATTTTTTGGCTTTTGGGTAAAAGTGCTTTTTTACTTTTCTATGATATTTTACCAAACACTACCAACATTTACTTTTCAAAATCACTTTTTTCTCAAACACCATCAACTTTTACTACTAACAACTTTTTCCAAAATCACTTCAAAAAGTGTTTTATTAAGCAAAATATTTGCAACCATGAGATCGAATAGATCTAAGCCGTCCATTGAGGTGGAGGACAAGTATAAATACCCCTCATGGCTGGCTCATTTATAACGATCCAACCATCAAATTCTTGAGAGCAATAAAGCATTGTACGAGTTTCTCCACAATCGATGTCCTTAGTTTCTGCAAGAGTAGGGTGACTAGCATAAATTTAAGTGAAGTGTGCTAGTGCGCTAACACTCCCTACATCCCTGTTTTTTGATAATTCTATATCTTTTATTTTAATTCAACTAGAATTTAAATATTTTGTATTAATTTTTTATTTATATAACCGTAACATTTTAGTATCTTAATTATAAAATACTGGTATGAAGGCGGGACACTCGTTTTTATCCCAAGTACTACTAGTGAAATTCCGGGCTCAAAGCGGGGGCACATGCCCCACCTAGCCCCCCCTTAGGTCCTCCACTGATTGTTACTATTTGACCGCAGGGGCTATTATATATACAAATTTTATCAACCGGGACTGAGATATATACATATACATATATACTCCATATACATTACCGCCGCCAACGAACGGGGGGCGGCAGCACCACTGCACCAGCTCTCCCCTAGTTCCGCCACTGTGAGAGGGACGTGTTCGCCCTTGAAATAACATGCATGAGTTACACGATTCAAAAACCTTTTACAAAAAGAGATACTAAGATTACTTTTTGTATTATTGGTAAAGTGCTAATGTCATCAATCAAAAAGCTTAATTTTAAAGAATACTCGTAATAAAAATCATTTTTTTAATCGATAGAGTAGCCTAGCTAGAAATAAAATTACAATTTTAGAAACAAATATAGAATATGAATTAAATACTCCGATCCGTATATTGTTTACAAAGCACAATGACATGCTCAAGACTCAAAGTATTTGAGAGATCTTCAAATGGCCCCGAAGAAGGTATTTCCCTTGGTATTAGTACGTCAATATCAACTCATTCAAGTTTTTTTCACCCTATTGCAGATTTTCGATAGGTAATTAAATAAGTACGTAGTATTAGTTTAACTTTAACCTAAAGCATATCTTTTAAAGTATTAAGTGATAACAACAGTAGCCTGTTTCATTAAAATCTTTATTAGTTTCTCATAAATTAAAAACAGTTGATACAATAATGATATACTTGATCAAACTTCTTATAAGTTATAACAACATAGCCAATTTTGCAATCTTTATTGATTAGAAGCCGTTATGGTAAGGGGAACACACCAAGAATAAAGTTTCGTACCTTTTGTTTTTCAACTTTAGAGATATCATTTATCCACTTGATTTTGAAAGTGAAATTGATGCTTATTTTGGATGGAGTAGTCGATTATAGTTGCCGAAATATATTCTTCCATGTGATCCTCAAATTTTGAAATGCACTATTCACCTAAAAGACATTTAGAACGACATACAGGAAAAAATGAGGTAATTTGAATTCGCACTCTATTTTATTGTCCAAATTGAACTTTACATCCGGTTTTTAAAAATCTTTATTTTTGCACACTAACCTCATATGAAAAGACGAAAATGTTCTCGATCAGGAACAGGCCCGGCCCGGCCCATGTGCAAGTGGTGCAACTGCACAGGGCCCCATTTTCAGGAGGGGCCTCCAATTTTTATTGTCATAGTGTTAAGACTAGGCCCAGTAGGGAAAAAATTGTCCAAGCAACCAACCCAATAGAAGCCCGCTACTGACTAACGACGCGTTTTCTCATTCATATACGTGTTTTTGTCAATTCTTACTTTTGGATTATGAAAATTTTACACGTAGTAAATTGTAATGCACTATTAGGGTTGGTTCGGTATGGCATACCGAAATTTTTACGCCATACCGCATACCGTACCGAAAAACCGGTATTTATAAAAGTCATACCGTTACCGTACCGAAACTTTCGGTATACCGAAATTCGGTATACCGAAAATACGGTATGATATGTGACCCATACCGTTTTATACCGAAGTGGCAAAGAAACCAGAGAGCAATGTTAAAAATGACAGCAACATTCATCTGTCTACCTAAGAGCTACGTATCCAAAATAAAATCTCAATCTCATCCACCCATTTCCACATTATCAAAAATCATTTTTAACTTCCAAATCTATTTAATTTGCAGTCAAATCTTTATCCTATCCACGTTTGCACCTGCAAGCCATTAGATTTTCGTAAGAGAAATTCTTTGACCATTTAAAAATTGAAATTTTAGCAAAACAGATGTTCTACTTATACTCTTAACTTATTAATGACGAGATTCTTCATATTACCAGGATTGAGAAGCTTTAGAAAATGATGAAGGTCTTCCACTGCTCCTTCACTCGTCCACAACGCTCTAGCTCGAAGTTTTCTGCCGTCCTTGAGCATTCTGTCACTCGTCCGCAGCTTCGTCTTCGATAGCTTCTTTTTTCGCAGCTTCGTCTTGGACAACTTCTTTATTCACAGCTTAGTCGTTCGCAGGTTAGTGACCGTCACTCGTCGTTATTTGGGAGAAATGGAGAAGAGAAGTGTTAAGGATTTGGTCTCCATTTGGGAGTTGGGACATTGGGCTTAGTATTAAAATGGGCAATAACATGAGCTGCAAACTCAAATTACCCCCAAAAAATTAATCGGTCCGATGCTTTGTTTTCTGAAGTTCATTGTTAAATCAATACCCGTATACTCTATCATAAATGTTACGGGTGTTTATCATTTGAATCTATTCACATACATGGCCCCAAATTTATGTTAGCTATTTTTTTGTTACAATGTTCTTTTTATGTATTTTCAAGTAAATACGACAATCCCATAATATCATTTTTTTTGTAAGCCAATCCCATAATACGAAGTATTATCAGCACACCACCATTCGAATGTTACTCCACTCCGCTTCCATGCATGTTTGATAATTGATATATATGAGTATATATGACCATGGGCAGGAAGTAAGTCAGGAACGTGGAAAACGCTCACCACACGCAACTTGATTGACCAGTGACATATATACTTGCTTGATGAATTTACCTACCCATATGGACTTATGGCATTGGTATACGCCTAATGTGGGCTATGTTAGAATACATCAACAACATTTAAGCCTTAGTCCCAAAAGATATTGGGGTCGCTAATATAAATCGATACATGATATCACCATTAAAAAGAAAAAAAAGAAAATAAAGATAAAAATAAGCTATTATAAAGAGATGATATAAAACGGAATGAATATACGTAAAAATGATAAAATAAAATGGATAAAAAAATGTTTATATATATAAGGATAAAAGAATAAAAAAACGATGACGTTGAATATGCACATGAAGAAACAGCAATTTGATAGATTTCAAATTGGGAAGCATTGGCTATGAAAATGCACATACTCACATTGCTATGGAGCACCTAAATCTTAAATGGTGCATTGGGAATTCATACGCCTCCATTTGTTTCAAGTAATGCAACCTCTGTTCTAAAAATCGTTCTAGGCGCCCGACTAGTCCCCGCCTAGGCGCTAGGCGGTGGTCGGGCGCCCCGATTTTTGTCTAGGCGCTCCGACTAATTGATTTGCCGTCTAGGTGAATTAATCGGCCACCTATGGCGCCTAGTTGCCCGTCTAGAGTGCCTAATCAGCCGCCTAGGCCGTCTAGATTCGCCGAACATTATTTCACTTTTTCATTTTAATTTTTTAAGTGATATACGTACTTTAAATTTTTCTATAGTTTGTATATATACCTAAATTTTATCATTTTTATATTTACAACATAATGAAGTTGAGTGATTAGTTATCATATACTACGTATGATTAAATGTGATAATTATATTATTCATGTTTGTTAATGTATATGTATATATGTATTTTATACACACAAAAATACAACATTACTTGTCATATTTATGCAAAAATATAGATAAAAATGCAATTTCTATGTTTCCGACTAGTCCCCGACTAGGCGCCCGCCTAGCCGCCTAGGCGCTAGGCGCTGGGCTGGCGCCCGACTAGCGCCTAGCGCCTTTTAGAACATTGAATGCAACCAATCAGAAACATTTCTTTTGTTAACATGGTCCTCTAGTCGGATAAGAACGTACTT